AGTTCAGCCAAAACAAATAATACGCCGGTTAAAAGTAGCAAAAGTTCCAGACCGGAAATCACTTTCACTTCTTGCTGAAAAGTATCAATCCATCGCCATTTTAAGTTCACTTTCCCTCAATCCAACTCAAGTATAGGGAAGAACTTATTATCCAAGTTAGAGTAAAGTCCAAAATAAAAAGCAAACTTCCAGGGTCGGTCCGTCTGCTTACAAGAAAAACTCACAGTTCACTTTAAGTTGCAGCAGTGGCGGCGGCTTCTAGCTTCGCCGAAGCGAAGGCGTCCTGGATCGCGGAGAAACCTCGGGGCTCCGGAGGAGTTCTCACCTACATCGTCCACATGGGACGACTCGGGAACTCAACTCCTACCCCGGGCAGCTCACCTATCCCCTTATGCGCTCTTAAATGCGATCAGAGTACGGAATTGGTACCCGCTCCCAGTCATTCCTGAACTTATTGAGCAGCTCTGCCAGGCCAAAATCTTTACTAAGTCAGGCTTGCAGGGAGCCTATAACTTTGTCAAAGTTCGAACCGGAGACAAGTGGAAGACGGCCTTCCGGACATGCTGCGGTCACTTTGAATACAACGTAATGCTGTTTGGGTTGACCAATGCTCCCAGCGTGTTCATGATGCATGATGTCTTTCAGGACCTACTGGATCAATTCATGGCCATCTATGTCGACATCCAGATCTACATGTCCTCCCCGTGTGAGCACTGGGACCATGTCCAGCAGATCTTGCAGATCTTGCAAGTGAACCACCTCTTCGCCAAGCAGGAGAAGTGCCAGTTCGTGCAGACCACCATTGACTTCTTGGGTCACTGTATTTCGCCGTGGGGGTGGAGATGGATCAGGAGAAAGGGGAGGTGCTGCAGCAATGGCAGCCCCTGTGGCAGATGTAGGATGTGCAACATCTGTTGGGGTTTGCAAACTACTATCAGACCTTCATTCCCCGCTTTGCCACCCTGTCCACTTTATTCAAGAAAAGGGTAAAGTTTCGATGGGGTGCATGTCTGTCAGCTCATCATTGGGAGACTGACGGGCACAGAGAAAGTAAATGCCATGCTGGAGCAGTACCTCCGGTGCTTCAGTAACCAGCAGCAGGACAATTGGGCGGAGGTCTTGGCATTGGCAGAGTTTGCCTTTAACAACTCCCAGCATGCATCCACCAGAGTGTCCCTGTTCTTTGCGAGCTATGGGTTCCACCTGTGGCTCTTCCTGTTGGCTCCATTGGATTGTCCAGTACTGGCCGTGGACATGTTCCTCCAGGTGCTGCGTGCCATACACCAGGTTGTCAGAATGCAGTTGGAGAAGACCAAGGAGGACTACAAGAGGTTTGCAGAACAGCATCGGCAAGAGGATCCATCACTAGCCATAGATGATCAGGTTTGGTTATCTATGTGGCACCTGCCGATGACTCGCCCCTCGAAGAAACTTGACCACCGCTATTTGGGACCATTTTCGGTCGAAGTGATCAACCCGGTGGCCTTCTGGCTGACTCTACCATGTATCATGCGGATCCACCCAGTGTTCCATCAGTTGTTCCTGGTGCCTGTGACGGCAGATAGTTGGCATCATCTGGCTCCACCGCCACCCAGATCAGTAGTCCCTCAAGGAGCAACTGAGTATGAGTTGGATAGCAATAGGGATTCAGTAACTTGTGGCATGGAAAGGTTATGGACTTCACCTGGGTGGACGCCTCCAATGTCTATGCCCCTCACCTGGTCAGGGACTTCCATGCCTGGTTCCCGCAACACCCTCATCTGTCTGGTCCCGGGGGAGGGGCCTCTGCAGGAGGGGATAATGTCATGCCTCCATCGGAGCCCAGTTCTGAGGAGGAGGAGGAGGAGGAGGAGGAGATGTAGCCAGGGCTGGTGGAGGAAGATGGCATAGCTTCTCTGGCCCAGGAGGAACGACCGGAGGAGCAGGACGAGGCAGTCCCGGGTCTCTCTAGACTCGGAATGGTCGCTAGAGAGGAAGAGAGGGTGCAGGATGACCGAGCAAGGGGGGGAGGAGATGGAAAGGGCAGAGCAGCGCAGAGGAGCAACAGAGCTCTGGAGATGAGCAACTGCCTCCCCCGCCCGAGAGCGGAGAACGGAGAGGAGGCGGAATCAGTGCCTGGGCAACCCGGCTACTTGGGAGGAGGACACCCCGCCCCACTTCACAAGGCTCACCTGGAGAACAGGATTTAAGGAGATGCCACGGGGAGGAGTTTTTGTCAGGAACAAGTGTTGTATTTGCCAGCAACACTAGCCACGATTCAAAAAACCTTGCTGTTACTGACGACTTGGTGCTTTGCTTTGCCTTGCCTAGCCTTGCTATGTGTGAGTTTGCAGTGACCCAGCTCAGCTTCGGTTTGGACCATGACCCCAGCAAACTCTCTGCAGGGGGGGCAGGTTGAGCTGTCACTCCAGGTGCTTTGGCTGAAGGGGTCATTGCTGCTGCGGAAACTGATTCGTTGGCAGATGTCACACCGTTGGTCGCTATGGCTGGAAGTGGCTGGCCATTGGGTTGTGCAGTTCAGACGAGGGCTTCACATACCTTGAGGTTCTCAGAAGAAAACCACATTAACTTCATGGTTTGCTCCATCAGTTGGCTTGGCCATGCTCTTTGCCTATCTCCTCTTCTTCCTCCAATTCTGTTCTGTCCCAGCCTACGTCCGTCTTTGTTGCGTCACAAAAACAAACACCTCTTTAACAGTAGGCTGGGAAAACCAAGCCCTTTTTATTACAAAAACAGTCCTGATAAGTTTGCTCAAAAACAAAAACAACAGAATATTTTTCCAACAGATAATTGGTTAAAAAATCAGACAGAGCAGGAGTTTAAACAAAACATTCATCGGTAAAACAAACAGATCATGATCCCTGGAAGTTCTTACAAACGGTTGCCTTCAGCAACCAGCACCGCCCGCACCTCCTCTTTTTATACAGCAGTTCCAAGGCGTTGCCTCTCAGTGCCTTCTCCATTTTCTCTGGAGTTGTCCCATTGACTGCTGTTGATTTACTCTTGCTAATTGCCTGCGCGCACGAGCATCAATTAGCAAGTCCATCAGGTGTGCGTCGTCTGAGTCTGACTCAGTCCCCTCACACAGCTGAGCTTCATCAGGAACACCTCCTCCTCAGATTCCTCAGACTCAGCTGTTGGGAACACAGGCTGGCACGGAATCATGACAAGTTCTTCCAGTTCCATTTGTTCCTATCAATGGCTGCCATGTCCTACATGAGTGAAAATCAACCCCATGGGTCATTCTTCCCAATCTTCCCTCCCCCTGACACCCAGGGACCACCTGGGTTTCAGCGAGTCACTGCAGCTTTCTGCTTGTCCCTTCCACTCGGAAACATCCAGTCCTGGAGGAGGCCTGGATGAAGCCTCCCCGCAGCATTCAATCTTTTCCTGATCGCTCCCTTGAGCTGACATCGTGTGTACAGTCGCTACAGTAGAGGTGATGTCCTCTCAGGGTTGACCACAATTGCAGATTCTGCCTAATGTCAGACCTGCTCCAGTCTCATCCCTTAGGGGAGAAAAAACCCTCAACTTCACTTATTTTAAGTGAAAGGTACTTTTATTAAGAGATGCTGATTGCAGTAAAGTCAGGGGGAATCTGAGTTTCCTGCACAACAAGACCAAACTATGTCCTTCAATTCCGTCCCTTCCCTCCCATGACAAGTCCAAACTCAGCCAATGCGATGCTGCTTGGATGTTTTGGGAACGCTGAAGTATTTGGGCTCCTAACATTCAGAGCAAATGGCCTTGAAGACGCCTTGGCACGAACAGGTCACAGGTTTATCTGTTTTTCTTCAGCTGTCATCCCCCCTCTCAAATTCCCACACAAAAATGCGTACAGGTTTATTGCTTCCCTCCTCATGCTTCCCCCCACCCAGTCCTTTGATGGCAGGATGCCAGCACGGCGCCAAGCCAAATATGGTGGACCTACAAACAGTTCATTTAGTGACTGTTTGAAGTTACAACAGCACTGAAAAAGTGACCATTTCACACTTAATGACCATTGCAGCAGCCCCATGGTTACTGTACATGATTAAAATTCAGACATTTGGCATCTGACACATTTATGATGGTTGCAGTGTCCCAGGGTCATTTTGTGACCTTCTGACAAGGAAAGTCGATGAGGAGCCAGATTGATTTAACAACTGTGGTACTAACTTAACAACTGCAGTGATTCACTTAACAAGTGTTGCAAGAAAGGTCGTAAAATGGGGCAAAACTCACTTAACGAATGTCTCACTTAGCAAAAGAAATTTTGGGCTCAATTGTGGTCTTAAGTCAAGGACTACTTGTAATCAGTTTGGGTTTTATTTTTCTGCTTTGCTTTTCCAGTGTCTTGTTTGATTATATTTGATAGGTATTTTAATTAAAATTGATTGTAGACCAGTTTTTCCATTGCTTAAGAGTCGAATAACATTTTTATTTATTCCTTTGCTCCTTTCCAGATTACAATCGTAGCACTTCTCTGCCTCTGCCAGTCCATGGGGAGCAGGCTGGCAGTAGTAGCAGTGAGCCTAGCTCTGTCTCTCCAGACTCCGATGTGCAATCTGACATATTGTTTGAAAAAGCAAAGCGTTCTCTTTCTGAAGTTCAATCGAAGAGTCCCATTTCCCATTTATTAAGGTATAATTTACTATTGTCAAATTACTTGCCTGGTTGTGGAAGGTATTGCGGGGGCAGTTTTATGTTAGCTGTATAGCATAAGCTTTGGATGCTAAGCAGTAGTTTGGTGGCAGTCTAGTTCACTCATTTGAAATGATTTGAATGTGCTACACATAGAAATGTGTGCACATGAACAAGATTTAATTCCTTATCTTTGATGTTGATGCGGAGCAGCTTTGTATCAACTCAGACACTGCAATTGAATAAGTTGTGCATCTCTTACTTTATTGTCCCCTTTATGGCATTGGTACTCACGGCTTCTATATCACTTGTACAGGTTAGTCTGAAACTAGAATTATGTATTTTTTACTTGCTGACATTTCCATCTGAATCTCTAGGAAGGTGGCAACGTTTTGTTCAATTTCAATTGTCAGGAAGTTGCATCCTGATCTTTATGCCAGTTGGGAGTTTCCTGGTGTGCTGGAAAATAGTCTGATGATCATCTCAGAATGTACTTATCTTTTTACTATATTTTATTGAATCAATAAAATAAGTTACTTAACAATTAGGACATGTTTTATTCATAATTTTATGTGATCATTCATACTTTTCTGTGAATGTTGTCATTTCTGACATAGTGTTCCTGATGATAGCTCAATTCCAGATGAGCGAAATTCCTCTTCTTCCCTTGAGGAAAAAGATTCTGGTCTTTTCTTAATAAAAAAGGACAGTGAACGTCGTGCAATTCTTTATAGAATACTTAAGGAAGAGCAGAATCAAGTAGCTTCTAATCTACAAGAATGTGTAGCACAGGTAATAATTGCTAATTTGCAAAAAAGCTAATACTATGGTAAAATAATTGCTTTATAGGAGAATTTTAAAACACAGTACTTTATAGGGTAGGATTTGTTGGCATAACAATATGAAAGTCAAGAGAAATGATACATTTTTCCTTTTGATTTTTGGCCATAATTCTCTCAAACATTTGGCTCTCTTCTCTTCTCTTCTCTTCTCTTCTCTTCTCTTCTCTTCTCTTCTCTTCTCTTCTCTTCTCTTCTCTTCTCTTCTCTTCTCTCCTCTCCTCTCCTCTCCTCTCCTCTCCTCTCCTCTCTTGTTTTCCTTCCTCCCTCCCTCCCTCCCTCTCTCCCTGGACTAAATCAGCAATCAGTTCCCACAGGATGACATAAAAAAATATTTCAACTAAATTTCATGCTAGGACCTTCTCTGGCTTCTAGGATCAGTTTATTTTTATAATTATACATGTACAGAAAATTGCTTTATACTTTTCATACTTTCTAAGCATTAGGAAAAACACTAAATAAACATTATTAAATGGAAATTTTCATAGAAGAAGTCATAAAAAGTGATATGGTACAGAAATAATGAGTTTATTTTTCCTTCTACTTCTTTTCTAATCTCGGGAACCCAAATACAAAAAGTTGTATTAAGTAGCTGAAGAGCAAAAACAACATCATGTGAAAGGTTAAGCATACCTGCGCCTTCTTTTTTTAAAGACTTTTTGTCCTGCTTTATTATTTTCTAACAAATAAAATGGCGAACATACACAATACAGGTAGTCCTCGACTTAACAGTTCATTTAGTGATCGTTCAAAGTTACAACAGCAGTGAAAAAAGTTAGTTATGATTGTTTTGGACACAACAATTGCAGCATCCCCATGGTTACGTGATCAAAATTCAGATGCTTGGCAACTGACATATTTATGACAATTGCAGTGTCCCAGGGTCATGAGGTCACCTTCTGCGACCTTTTGACAAGCAAAGTCAATGGGGAAGCCAAATTCACTTAACAACCGTGCTAGTAACAACTGCAATGATTCACTTAACAACTGTGGCAAGAAAAATTAGACCAAATTCACGTAACAAGTGTCTCACTTAGCAACAGAAATGTTGGGCTCAATTGTGGTGTTAGTCGAGGACTACCTGTACTCCTTTCTCTTCCTATTTTCCGCACAACAAAACCCTGTGAAGTAGTTTCAGCTGAGAGTGAAACTGATCCAGTCATCCAGCTGGTTTTCATGCCTAAGACAGGACTAGAACTCACAATCTCCTGGTTTCTGGCACTTTAGTCATTACACCAAACTGGCTCTTACTGCTCTTCCATTTCTAATTACTCCTATATAATTATATAAGAAAAGAAAATAACTGAAATAGGTAGCTTTCAGTTATACTATCAATATTCAATTTGACAAACCAGTAACTAAACCTCTTTTCAATTTATGATTCAATAATGTGATTTAGGATAATTATGGGTTTGAGTTACTTTTTTACAATAGTTGTAACTCATCATTTCTGGCTTTTAATTTTTTTTTCATATTCATATTTTTCAGAGTTCTGAAGAGCTGCATCTTTCGGTTGCTCACATTAAGCAGATAATTGGGATTTTAAGAGATTTCATACACTCTCCTGAACACAGAATTATGGCATCAACTATATCAAAGTTGAAAATGGATCTTGATTTTGACAGTCCTTCAATCAACCAGATTCAATTAGTATTGTTTGGATTTCAAGATGCAGTATGTTCAATCCTAGCTTAATATTTGAAATACAGAGAAGAGCAACATTTTGCTATTGCAAACATTTATGTATTCTTAAGCACTTTAGCATAGCTGGTATATATTCTCCAGTAAGAGCAAATGAATACATTTCTCATGACCTAAAATTAAAGAAAATTACACCAAGACCATAGCATTCTGAAGTAAGGGCAGAAGACAAGCCTGCCTAATGCTCATTAGATACAAACATTTCATTGCAGATGATGATTAAAGTACATACAAAATCTTCCAGAACATTTTTATTTATAAAATTGCTGAAAATGAATTCCACTTTCTACATTGTAAAATATTTGTGCATAGAACTTTAAGTAAGCAAATATCCCAGGTACTTTTACATAGCAGTGTAGATACAGTACATTATTTCATTGTAGCATTTTTCTTTGCCTAGATGGCAATATAGTTGCAAATAATAAAAATAAAACATTAACATGACTAAGGAAATATCTGTTCTGAACACTACAAACTTTGACTTTTCTTTAAAAACAGTGATTATAGTTTTATTCAGTTATTAAACAATCATTCTGTCAATCTATCCAGTTTTTACCATGAAAATTAAGCTTTCCTTAAGCTAGGTCTTCAAATGATAATGTTGACTGAAAATTCTGAATTGTAATATCAAAACATTTAATTAGCACTAAATTAAGAAAGTCTGATAGTAGATAACCATCAAGGTTGTTCTTCAAATATAAACAGCTACCTTTCCCCAAGAAATATAAAAATTGAAGTTCTTCATATTTATTGAATCTTGAGAAAGTGTCTTTTTCTGATATAAATTCAATTGCTAAAAGGCGCTATTAACCCAAGTTTCTTTATTGTAATATTGCAGTTACCTAATTAGTAGGTTGGATTAATAAATACACAATTTGTTTGCCTCTTTTTAACAGGTGAATAAAGTATTAAGGAATCATTTAATCAAACCTCATTGGATGTTTGCGATGGATAATATAATACGGCGTGCAGTTCAAGCAGCCATTACTATTCTTATTCCTGGTAAGTGAAATTGCAAGGATAAATATGCTGTGTGTAGTCCTGTTAGTATGACATACTACAAAGTGAGACACACCCAATATAACTTAAAAGAACCACTAACGTCATTTGTGAAATTAATACAAAAACTGAAGGTTCCTGACATCACAACATATTTTTGGGATACTCCTTGCAGTATCAATTTATATTTGAAATCCAATAGATTGATACCTGAAAGTGACAATATTTAGGTTTTTAAAAAAGTATCTATATAATGGCATTAGATTTTTGTCCTGTGCTATAAGATATGTATAAAAATCATGGTCATAGATTATCATCAGATTTTTTTGATAATGACAAATGGAGTAGAAATGTTTGTACAAATATGATGCAGAGCTTGGCCAGAACACACACATACACACACACCATCCTTATTGGTGATTTGTTTCTTCTTCAATCTCAATAAAAAAAATACTAGGAAGGAAACAAAAGGACTAGAACACATCCCCTCCAGCAACCAACACTCCAATAAGCAGCTACCAGACAAATGGACAAAAGACAATAATCAAGGAGGAAACCACCTACCCATCAAAATAGGCAGAGGAAGACACTGTGTCAGACCTGCCCCAGTCTGATATCCTAGGGAAGTAAAACTCTTGACTCCATTTGGTTGAAGTGAAAAGGTACTTTTATTAAGAAATGCTGAATGCAATAAAGTCAAGCGCTAATACAGAACTAAACCCCTGATTCCTTTTAGCCCTCCCCCCATAGTCTGTCTGTGTATAGCCAATCTGGCACCACCAAGATGTTTTAGGAAATGCTGAGGTGTTTGGGCTGGTGAAATTCCACTCTCAAGGTAAACGGTCTTGAAGATGCCAGCTTGCCAACACGAACTGGATTCCAAAGTGCTCTGTTCTTCCTCAGCTGTCAATTCTCCCCTCCCAATTTCCCATCATAAAGGTATACAGCTTTATTGCCCATTTGTTTCCCCCTCTTCTCCCCGATGGATGGCAGAATGCCGGCAAGGTGCCAAGCTAAAGCTGATAGATCTGACATGCTGCTCCCCTTGACAAGGACATCAGTCCTGCAAAACATATGGAAAGACACAACAAGTAGATATATGGTTAGAGTAGGGAACTATTTTGGTTTATCAGGATATTGGTGATGGAAACATTTAAGAAGTTTGGCCGCTTTAATGTGCTTAAAATCAATCCATTCAGTCTCGGAGGGAGGAAAGTCTTTCCATGCAACTACATATTGGACTTTTCCACTGTGTTTGTGAAAGTCTAGAATATCCTTAACCTCAAAATATTGTTCCCCCTCAATCATGAGAGGTTTGGGTGGCCGAGGTGGTGTGGGACACAGACGGGATTCAGTTTCCGATTTTACTAGACTACAATGGAAAATCAGGTGAATGCACCTAAGAGATTTCGGCAGTTCGAGTTCAACTGTAACCAGGCTGACAATTCTTTTGATGGGGAAAGGGCCAACGTACTTTGGTCCCAGTTTTTTGGGAAGGTTGCCAGGACTATAGGTATTTTGTAGAGGTAGACCCAGTCTCCTATTTTGAAGTTTTGGGGTGTTGTCCGCTTTTTGTCTACATGTTTCTTATCAATCTCTGTTGCCTCCTCCAATGATTTTTTTAACCACTGGCCAGGAATTCTGTAGTTGGTCAATCCAGTGATAAAATGGGGAGGTGGCCAGGGAACGTTCAGGCATGGGCACAAAGAACTGCCCAATAGCTACCTTAAAAGGGGTAATCCCAGTGCTGCTATATGCGGAGTTGTTATAAGCCACTTCAGCAAAAGGGAGGAGGTCAGTCCAGTTGTCCTGTTGGTAGTTTATATAAAATCTCAGGTATTGTTCTAGCACCCCATTCTCGTGTTTCATATCCCCCATTCATTTCAGAATGATGACTGAAACTAAGCCCTTGGAATGTCCCAAGAGGGACATCTTGCCAGAATTTTGAAGTAAATTGCACCCTGCGGTCGGAAATTATTTTTTGCAGAATGCCGTGCAGCCTATAGACATGGTGGATGAACAACTTAGCCAAGGTGCAGGCAGAAGGAATTTTTGGATAGGGCACAAAATGCACTTGTTTAAAGAACAAATCAGTGATCAACCAAATTACAGTATTTCCCAAGCTTTCCAGTAGCTCTGTTATAACAGTTCCCAAGCTGTGACCTTGAGGTGTAAACTTTCTCAAGCAACCAAAGTCTCACATGTATTCCTCAGCCATCCTCCATCCCTAGGAATTTACCAACCTCCTTCCCGTTTCTGTTTGGCAAACTGCAAGCTGAAAACAACTGCAACATTGCGACCTGATTCCTGGAGAAACCGATCCTTTGATCTCCAGACTGCTGAACTTCTTCCTCAGCTGCTGCATCGATGGCTGTGGATAGCAACTGGGAACTTCCACTCGATTGGCTCATCCCACTCGGCTGGTCATCTTGACTTCGACTTGCTTCCTTGGATCACGTTGACTCTTGGGAGGACCAGGGGGTCTTTAGCCTCCGCTGCCTTCCCCACGTTCGCTGCCCAGTGGGTTTTCAGTCCCTGATACAGGGCATCTCTCGAGCGCTCCCTTGAGCTTTCTGGCTGCTGGTCCGGCTTTTTGACTCTCTGTTTAGGGGAGGTGCCCACTGGCTGCATCCTCACCCAGCTTGCAATGCCGCCGGGACTTCTCGAGCCAAGGATTCCCACAGCTTCTCCTCCAACTCTTTGTCTATCACCAATATCTCAGGGTTACTGACCTCCTGGTGGGTCCAAGCAGGCACTACTGTGAGAACTGACTTAAGGTCAGCCATCCCATTTGGCACATTCAAAAACAGAAATTCCTGGCACACAAAGATTACCAAGAGTAAAACTATTGAAAGATCCATTTAGGCACAGCAGAAGCAAAGTCAGTTCTGAGGTTTTCCTTTGAAAAGGAACATAGGTAAACTCCCCTTTTTCCCCATATTGTCACCCACATTCCATCATTCACCAATCCAATGCAGTCTTTTTGTTTTGGGAAGTCAGTCTGCACCGTTTGAACAGTTCACGAGTTGTGACCTTGAGATGTAAACTTGCTCAGGCAACAGAAGGCTCACATGCATTCCTCAGTCCTCATCCCTCCCTAGGAATTTACCAACCTCCCTCTTGTTTCTGTTTGACAAGCTGCAAGCTGAAAGCAGGTGGAATGCTGAAGCCGAGTCAGCTTTGACAACGTGGCTCTCACCCAGGCTAGACCTTCTTGCATTGCATATTAATTTTTGTGAGCTTGGAACCAGTTATCCCCTTCCGGTGCTGCCCTTAGGATCTCCACTATGCCTTCCCCAATTTGAGGTTTTGCTCTCACCGCAGTCAGGTCTTGACTGGTGCTGGAAGCTGGCAGGATGGAATAGCCGGTCTGACTATTTCCTTCTTAGTGCTGTTGTATTGAAGCATCTTGGATAGTGCATCAACTAAGACATTTTTTCCCCCTGGGAGGTAGCAAAGAGTGAGATTAAATCGATTAAAATACTGAGCCCACTGAACGTGCCTGGATGATAATCTCCAGGGTGTTTTTAGGGCTTCTAAGTTTTCATAATCAGTCCACACCTTGAAAGGGGTTTTGCTCCTCTCCAGGAAATGCCTCCACTTTTAAGAGTGCCCATGCACTGCATAAGCCCCCTTCTCCCAAATCACCCATCAAAACTCAGTATCAGTTTCCTGGAGGTGTACACACATGGTTGTAGGGCACCCTGGCTGTTCCTTTGTAAAAGAATAGCTCCCATGACCATATCGCTAGCGTCCACCTGAATAATAAATGGGGCATTAGGGTCTGGATGGTTCAGTAGCAAACAATCATTTGAGTTTTTCAAATACTGCCTGGCATTCCATTGTCCATTTCAGTGGTTGGCTTGGTTTGGTTTCCTCTCCCCTTTTGTCTTTAGTAAGTTGGTTATGGGGAGGGCGGTCTGGGCAAATGATGGGATAAATTGGCACTAAAACTTCGCGAACCCCAAAAAGCTTTTCAATTGCTTTCTGGTGCGGAGTGGAACACACTCTAACACCACCCTAACTTTCTCAGGGTCCATCTCTATCCTTTTGTGGGAGATGAGGTAGCCCAAGCAGTCAATTTTACTCTGGTGGAACTTGCATTTCGAACGTTTAGCATAGAGTTGAGCAGCCCTGATTTTTGTAAGGACCACTCTAAACAGTTTCACATGCTCAGTCATAGTCTCAGTATAAATCAGTATGTCATCCAGCTAGACCAACATGTTCTTGTAAAGGTGCTCATGCAGCACCTCATTTATCAGCTGCACGAAGACAGTGGGGCCCCTTGTAGTCCAAAGGGGAGGACCCTGAATTGAAAATACCTTAAGGAGCAGTTAAACATGGTTTTCTATTTGTCTCCCTCTTTGATCCAAACTCAGTAATAGGCTTCTGGCAAATCCAACTTAGTAAAATATCTTCCCTTTGGCCAAATGGGCTAACATGTCTTTCCTTAGGAGCAATGGTTAGATGTTTTTCACACACATAGCATTTAGCTCTCTGTAGTGCACGTATAGGCCCAGGGACCAATCTTTTTTCTCCTGGAACAGTATCAGGGCAGCCATCTTGGGTTGGGCCAGTTGGACAAACCACCATTTCAGGTTTTTGTCTATAAAAGAGTGTAATCCTCCAACTCTCTGGGAATCATAGAGTATAATTTGGGTTTGGGTAGTTTAGCTCCTGGCATGAGCTCTATGGAGCAGTCCACTGGCTGGTGGGGTGGGAGTTTGTCTGAACCCTTCTTGCTAAACACACCCTCAGTACTCCGGTGGAATTCAGGGATTACCCTTCTTCTGCTCTCCTTGCGGACTCTTCTGAGTCCGCAAGGAGAAGGGCGGGATAAAAATACAATAAATAAATAAATAAATAAATAAATAAATTGCAGCCCCCACCTCCTGCCTCGGCCTTGGGATCCCTAAGCCTTTGCCTGGTTTCCTTTCAGCCTCAGATGGCTGGATTTTAGCAGCTCCCTCCTCCAGTTCACGTAGGGGTTCCATTTCTGTAGCCACGCCAGTCCCAACACCAAATGTGTCTCCATGCCAGGGGCCACAATAAAACACAGTGTGTGTCCCCAGTTGCATTTCTATCAGCTCAGTGACAAATGGTGGGATTCCCCCCTGCTACAGAGCCATCTAACTGGCAGAATGCCACTAATACTTTGAGTCTAGATCTCATCCCTAGTTTCTCCACCAGGGCAAAGTTGACCAAGCACCTTGTGCATCCTGAGTCCAGAAGGGACTTTTTGTCCTGAGGATTGGATTATCAGTTTAATGTCATCGGGATGATCAGGTTACTTACCAGGGGGATCACCATCTGAGTCAGTGTTGCTCTCCCCCAGGCCTCTCACTGGGCTGGTTGGAGTTCTCTCACCTTTCCTGGGGGATGGGGTGAACTCTATGACCTTCCAGGGCTGTCTCGCGGGCTCATGGTGATGGCTTGGCAGGCTTCTTGGTGGACCCGGGGTTGTTTTCTGAGTCAGTCGGTTGGATCTGCACTTAGTGGCCCATTGCCCCTCTTTTCCACACTTGAAGCAAGCTGTGCACCCATCTGTGCTTTTGGGGTTTCTTGTCTGGGAAGGATTTCCGCCACCTCCTCTCTGGGCGATGCTTGTTTCGGCCAAGTGGATCTCTGCTTCCTCAGCTCGGACATGCCAACCACGGAGCATGGGGGAGGTACCCCTGGAGATGCAGGTGTTGTAGGACCTCATCAGTTAGCCCATCTTTAAAGTAGCAAATCAGGATGTCTTGTGGCCAGCTGTTGAGCCTAAAGGCCAGGTCGTGGAACTCCTGGGTATACTAAGCCACACTTCTCCAGCCTGGCTGATGGTTTTCACGAGGTCCCTAGTTTTGCGGTCAGCAAGGGGTTCCTCGAAGTGTTTAAAGAGTGCTGCCATATCTCACCTTGCTGTCTTCTGTAGCTCTTTCAGGACCGTATTCCTGCATGTAGGTCCAAACCTGAGCCATGAAAAACCCCAATTGCTGAGGGTCTACATCAAACTTTACAGCCGGGGAGGAGTCTTGTGGCTCCTTCTCTTTGCTGGCATCAGTCCTGCAGGGGGGCCACATTGGCCTGCCCCTCCAGATGCTGGGGCTGCGGAGGTTGCTGCTGCTACAGATCCAGCCCATCCTTACCTGCTGTAGGTAGATGTGGTTGCTTCGTCAGTTGCTGGGGCCAGACGCAGCTGGCCGTCTGGCTGGTCGGCAAGAGCGAGGGCTTCACACCTTCAGATTTTCAAAATCCCCCTTTATAAACTTGATGGCTTGCTCCATCATCCAGTTGGCCTGACCATGCTCTCCGCCTGTCTTTTCCTCCAGCTCCATCCTCTGTTGCCGTTGGTGGCTACCACGGCTCCCGGGGGTAAAGTCACCCCTGCGGGTTTCTTTTCCCAGTCCTCCTTCCGATGCCCAGGGACCACCTAGGTCTCCGTGTCTCTTGTCCATTTGGTGAGATCCAGCCCAGAAGTAGCCTGGACAAAGTCTCTCCCCAGCATTCAATCTCGTCGCTTCCTTGAGCTGACATAGCATGCATGGTAGAGATGGTGTCCTCTCCGGGTTGACCACAATTACAGATCCATTAATATCATACCTGCCCCAGTCTGATCTCCTAAGGAAGTAAAACTATCAACTCCATTTAGTTGAGGTGAAAATGTACTTTTACTATCAGATGCTGAATGCAGTAAAGTCGAGCGGAATCTAAAATTCCTGCATGCCAATAGAGAACTAAACCCATATTCCCTTTAGCCCTCCCCCATAGTCCAACCATGTGTAGACAAAGTGGTACCACCAAGATGTTTTGAGAAACAGAGGTATTTGGGCTGGTAAAATTTTATTCTTAGGGTAAAGGGCCTTGATGCCAGTGCGCCAACATGAACTGGATTCCAAAGCGCTCTGTTCTTCCTCAGCAGTCAATTCCACTCTCCAATTTCCCATCATAAAAGTATACAGCTTTATTGTCATTTGTTTCCAACTCTCCACCCAGATTGATGGTAGAACGTCGGCAAGGTACCAAGCCGAAGCTGGTGGATCTGACATACTGTATATAAATAGGTAGCAAAGCTCACGCACAAAGTTCACACTGACAATGTTACCTAGTTGGGTAAACATCTGCAAACAAAAACCAAGCTCAGAGAGAATTTCATGCTGTGTTATGTATATTCTCTTCTAAAAATGGCATACAATTATGAAATACCAGGGACAAGTTATTAAATGAAATCAGAATCATGGGGCATATTTATTCCGGGATTGCTAAACATTAAATATTTTTCAATGGTCATCATTTATAAATGGAGTTTTTAATCTTATAGGTTCATATTATAAGAAAAGGAGACGCAAAAAATTAGTACAATTCTGCTTTATACACAGAGCTTCAAACTCATTTTGAACCAGCATCAGAAACTGAAGGAGTAGATAAAGAGGCAGATGAAATTGAGGAAGATTACCAGCAAGCTAAACAAGGAAGACCAGAGGAATCAGTTACTGCTGGAGGGTGCACACTCACTTCTTCTCAAGCCCTAGACACTAAACAGAAACTTAGCTTGCAGTTAAATAAATTAAAACAGCAAACAAACAGGTAAAGAACTCTGGACAATATTTGCATTAAAAACATTCAAACGTGTATTTTAGTCATTATCTACATCAGGGGTGTCAAACTCAATTTCATTGAGGGCCACATCAGCACTGCGGTTGTCCTTGGGGGGCCAGGTAGGTGTGGCCAGGGTGGGCGCAGCCTATTGGGTGGGCATGGCTGGAGTGGGTGTGGCCTACTGGGTGGGCATGGCCAGCTCTACATCGTTCGGGTCAAGGGTGCCTGTGGGGGCCTGGGCAGGAGTGGGACAGATCTGAGGGTCTCTGGCAGAAGGGGGTGGGACCAGGGCAAGCGCCAAGGTATGGTCCACTGGAAGAGCCTGCCGAAACCCCTCCCCCAGAGCCCATCAAGCCGGATATGTGAAGTAGGCGAGGGCCATTTGCTGGCCACTTCCAGGCGATGGTGCATTTCTTCATTCCTCACAAAGGGTGACACCTCCCCATTATGCACCCAGGGGATGGGGCCGATGCGGCAGGGGCTGGTTCCTCGCTGTTTCCAGGCGGCCTTGTGGAGCTAAGACTGAATGCGTTTCAGCATAGATGGCCACCACAAAATTGTACATTGGCTCCCGGCCAGCCTGGGCCGGGGCCAAGGCAGCGCGGGCCGTTCCCTCACTGTTTCCAGGATGGCTTTGCGGGCCACATGAAGCCACATCGCGGGCCGCATCCGGCCCCCGGGCCTTGTGTTTGACATGTCTGATCTACATATTGCATACATTTCTTCAGCAATAGTTCAACCAATTAAAGACTATAACATTGCAACTTTTTATTTATCTTGCAAGGGCAATCAGTTTCTCTGCTGGAAGTCGGATAGACAGGAAGACAAAAGGGGTAGCCACATTCATTCTTATCTCTGGGTCACCAAATCTAGTGTACAGTCCAATAAAGAACCCAGAAGAAACTTATATATACTACCTTGATTATTTTTACAAATAACTCAAGGAAGCGAACATATCTAATACACCTTTCTCTGATTTTTATCCCGACAACAACAACCCTGTGAGGTAGGTTTGGCTGAGAGAGAGCAACTAGCCCAAAGATATCCAGCTGGCTTTCAAGGCTAAAACAGGACTTGAAGTCACGATTTGCTTTCCAGCCTGATGATGCCTTAATCACTAGACCAGACTGACTCTCTCCAATATCAGAAATACAGTCCTAAAAAAAAAAAAAAGTTTTCTGCTCCAGAAAATCAAAATACATTTGCGTAGGGTACTATAATATTAAATTTATATTTAAGATTGAGCAAATTAAGAGAATATCCTACACCTTTAGCTTCCATATACAAACCTAGTTTTAAATACCAGTATATGAACAGTTTATTAATTTCATACCAGACTTTTTTGCATGTTATGAGGGTTCTGTACAATTAATTGATGGCCTGAATGCATGACTTTATTGAATGTAGTTCATCTGGTTGAAAATCATAATTTGACAAAATCGTATTTTTGTATATGGAAAAAAGAAAAAATTGTGTAACAATAAACACATTTTAAGCTAGGTTGTCCATGTGAATAAATACACTTTTTAAATTAGATTGTGTTTTATGTCAGGTACACTTTTTTATATAATAGGTTACTGGAAAACCTAATACAGAGGGAAAGGGAATACCAGATTCTCCTTCAGCAAACTTTACAGCAAAAAGTTCATGATTTGCAACTTCTTCAGCTCCAGTTAAAAACTACTGGTAAGTGGGCAAATGAAATTTTCTACTCATTTAAATGGAGTAAACAGATTATATGAAGTAATACCTATTTATACCTAAGGCCTATTCTAGAAGCAAACATTAGGACAATATGTTTAGTTAATATACTTTGAATTGTTGCAGAAATTCAACCATCATCTCTTCAGCACAACGTTGATGAAGAACTTACCAAGTGGTTAAAACAACAAAGAGCTGATTCAGATGCAATTGATAGGGTAAGATTAAATAAGCAAGATGTTAAATGCTGTCATTTACTGTTCTCTAAACACAAATTATTTCTTTCAGTTTGTTCAAGAGGACTATACACTTAGCGATGTTCTAAACAGTATCACAAAGGAGGATTTGCAACTGCTCAGACTCCGGTAAGAACAGTATTGCATAATTTTAGAAATACTGCTTTCCAGTAGACCAAGATGATATTTTATTTTCTCATACAGGGGCGGACTTGTCTGTCGCATCTGGAATGCAGTACTAAAACACAGAAAGCAAAGTACAGTCTTGGGAATGGAGATTTAGCATTTCACTTTTGCCAGATGCTAATGGACTGAAAGAAAAAGTATACATTCCAAATATGTTTTATACGCTGATTACCTTGCATGTTTTGCACAAACATTAAAATTTACTAACATTTTAAAGTATTAAATAATGACTAGAGTCTATTATAAATGGTGTGTGTGTATAATTTTCTTTTGCAAGTTAGCCATATTTATTGCTATTTAAACAATCTACCCAATTTTAGAAATGTACAGTAACTGAGAAAATGCACAGCTACATGTACAGTTCATCTTATGAAATGCAGTTGCTCATATATAAAATGTAAATCTTTTCTAATATACCTGCTGCTTTTTAAAATATGTTTGGGAGTTGTACAATATAAAGTATTAGGTTTTGTGTAATTTTGTAAGAGCAAGATAAACCCCAAAGTATTTCCACACAGAATACTAAAAAATTTTTTTTAGGTTGAATATATTATTTATATTAAATATATCAATATATTTTGAGTATATTCAAAATATTAAGTTTGAAAGTAAATACAATGAATAAAACAATGAAAAACAATAAAGGGAAGAAAGCAAAGGAGATATATATAAAAGAAAATATAACTTAGAAAATCTTGATGAACTGTTTTTATTAATGTAAATAATGCCATTTTAGCGGAGTAATTTTCATCATACAGCAAAACAGAACAGACTGAAGTTTAATAAATCTTTTTTAATTTACTTCTTGCACAACTTTCTTTCAAAATTCCATATTTCTCATTTCCCCACCCTCCCTAAAACTTACGTCATGACCAAAATTGTATTTGGCTTTTATCACTTAGAACAGATGTAACAGTTAAACTCCAATATAATATCTATCAGTTTAACTGACTGCTGAATCAGAATTCTCTTAGCCAACAGATTTGTACCTAGTCCACTGATTTGGACCACGCACTTCAAAGGGTGGCTCTTTATTATAGATATGATTGCCTAATTCTTCCAGAGGTGGTTCTGGATCAGTGGTGGCGAACTGTGCTGCTTCCTCAATCTGTTTTCTTACTTCCACATCAATCTCCTACACCAGAAACAATAAAATATTAATAGACAAAAGAAAGCCTTCAAAAAATACAGAGTAAAGTGCTTTAAACTTACATTACTAACACAAAGCTTGTTATTGCAATAAATAATCGGGATCAAAACCACACCCTGTAAGTCCAGATACTGCAAGCTCCAAAAATTCTAATCATGATCATTTTTTAAAAAAGTAGTCCTCATATCTGATATACACATGTGACATTTTCATATTTGAATATTATTTAATTATAATATTGTTGTAGTAGTTTCTATCTCTAGCTACAATAATTATCTCCTAAAGTTTTGGACTTTAATTTCTACCCATTTGGCCAATGTTTTGGGAAGGGCAGCAAGATTCATCCTTGGTTTTGTGTATTTCTGTAGAGATGGTGATCTTTTATATATAATGCAACTCCACCTCCTCTTTTGTTAGGTCTGTTTCTTTTGAATAGTTTGTTTCCTTCCATCAATACATTCCAGTTATGAGTTTCATCCCACCAAGTTTCAGTAAAGGCAACTATATCATATCTGCCTTCATATACTAATACTTCAAGTTCACCCTGTTTGTTCCTTAAACTTTTAACGTAAAGGCATTTGAGTCCTTTATGGGTCTTGGGTATGTTTCTTATATCTCCTACTTTGTAACTGGGATTTCCATCCTTCCCATCACTTCATTATGTTTTTCTTTTTTTATTTCTTCTGTTTACTCCCTACCTCATGTGATTGGTTATATAGTGATTTTTGCTTGGAATTAGGTTCTAAAGGTCGTGAAGATTGCCTTCCCTCAATTTTACTTTAAAGCCCTTTTGATAAGATGAGCAAGTCGTTTTCTGAATATATTCTTTCCAGTTCTTGTGAGGTGCAGTCTATCCCTTGTCAGTAGCCCTTCATGTAGGTAATGCAGACCATGGTCTAGGAAGCTGAAATTCTCTTGACAACACCAGTTTTTAAGCCAGTGGTTTATTTCTAAAATCCTTTGCTTCCTCATTGGATGTTGGTCTTTTGTTGGAAGTATAGATGAAAACACCACTTGTGCTCCTACTTCTTTAACTTTCTTCCTTAGTGCTTCTGAATCTCGTTATTGTTTTCAGATTCATTGTTGTGTCATTGGTCCCCATGTGTAGGAGAAGAAAGGGGTAGTAATCCATGGGATTGGTTATTTTAGTAAAGTACTTAATTATATCTTTGATTTGAACAAGTAGATATTAAATGAGGACTATTTGTACCTCCAACTATATCACTAATTATTCAGAGAAAAAGTTTTTTCTATCTAATTTTCATAACCTGTGAAAGGAAAAATTATTACCTTGAGCTCCTCCACACTAGCTAAGTTGTTATTCACCATTCTGTCCTTCAAGAGAGTAATAGGATCACTTTTGCTTCTTACTTCTTGAATTTCTTCTCTTGTTCGGTAACTGTAAAAAGCCAATTACACTAGTAAACCGTATGAAAAAGAGTTTCTCCCAATAACTTGATAATAATATAATGAAGAAAGATCATGGCATTTATATAGCAAATAGTATAAGATATTCAAGGCTTTGTTCTTCATGGGCAGGAATATAATTTAAGGTAAAATAAGAATATACACAAAACAGCAGGAAAAAGACTCCTCTTACATTGAAAATTCTTTGCCTTTCATTGATCTAACAAAAACAAACTAAGATAAATTAAGAGATGTATTCAGGATTGGAAATCAATACTATCAATTAAATTATAAAACAAAGTCTTGATTAAAAACTATTGATGTGAAATGAGAAAAGTCTACATGCAGATTTACTTTTTTGTACATGTGGTACTGCTTATTAAACTTTTGTAATATGTTATGTATTATTTGTTTCTACTATGGGTCTTCAATTTGTAAAAACAATAAAAGTATTTGAAAAATTAATCCAATGCAAGACATGCAGCCTGGGAGTTTATTGTTAAAAAACAGTCCTAAATCTGGTTGAGCTTGGCCATTTATAAAATCTATTATAAAATGGTAGACAAAACTTTCAGAATTTAAGGGAGAAAAAACAGGGAAGAAACTGAAATATGACCAGGCGTGCATGTACACAAAGTCATCTAAGTTTCTCATGTAGAAGATAGTATGGAAACTGCACCTTACAGTTGTTTTTATTGGATTATGATTTGCTTAAGCCATGTCTAAATCATATTTTGCTTTGACTATTTTGATCAACAGGAAAGTGAACAAATCACACATACATAATGGGCCAATATAATGGGTCAATAATGTTTATTGAGGTAGGGATGGGTAAGAAATAAATATACTACCTAATTTAATAATTAATTTTTAATTTAGTACATTACTTCTCAGTAATGTAACCATCTACTGCAGACATGCCAGACAAAATGGGAGAACTATTAAAATGTACTCCTATTTTGCCCAGGCAAGCCTGTGGCTGGCTTAAACAAGCCAAGCAGGACCCAAAGCCTAGTGTGTATTTTGACAACACTCCTGCCTTGCCCTCACAAGCTTTTATCATGTGATCCCTGCAAAGTAGGAAGAGGATACAACTCATAGTGTGAAAATTTTAAGTTCCTTGTTTTAACAAAACTATTTGATTAAAAATATGTAAGATTATGTAGTGGAAGAGATTGGTAGTCTTGGCCAAATTTTCATGCCTCTAGTTTGTAAAATATTTGCATTTTCTGCTTTTTCTTCAAGTACGCTCCAGGATAATGTAATTTTTCCCACCACTAATATGGAACAGTATAGAATTACTGTACCTGATTCCAGGGTCACTCATACTATGCCCATGATAACGATATGTTTGTAGCTCCATCACAATAGGGCCCTGTTAAAATAGAAGTCTTTAATACCTTTGAAAATAATGCCTTGATTTTGCTGATAACTAAATGTAGACAGGCATGCCAGTTTAAGACAATCATGTAGATCAGTAGCTCTCAACTTTTTGTATCTTAAATTACTCTGCTAAAAAACACAGGTCTGACCAAGACAGCAACAAAAATATTACAAAATTTCCCTAAGACATTTATATATTTAAAGTATTTTGTTATATTCAATATTTAGATTAATGTTTAGATTTAAATAAAATCTCAGGAACTTACACTTGGTTCCCATAAATCTACTACTATATCCCATTTTTAGTATCCATAGCTCATATTTATATAATTTGTCTGTAAGAGTTATAATGCATTGCGGTCCTTACTCCTATTTTCTGAATGCTTTGAAAACTCTGAAAAGAAACCTCTCAAACCTCATTTAATAGAGAAGGGCAAATACCTACAAGTACGCCTTGACTTATGACCATTCATTTGAAGTTATGGTGTTGAAAACAGTGACTAATGGTCAATCCTTGCACTTACGACCATTACAGTGTCGCCACAGCCACATGATTAGTGTTTGGGTGCTTGGCAACCAGCATGCATTTATGATAATTGCAGCATCCTGTGGTCATGGGCCCTTCTGAGCCCTTCCCAGAGGGAAGCAAAGTCAATGGAGAAGTCAGATTTGCTTTATGACTGCATGATCTGCCTAACAATTTTGGTGATTTGCTTAATAACTGTAGCAAAAGGTAATAAAATTAGGCATGCTTCACTTAATGACTGCATCATTTGGTGGCAGAAGTTCCAGTCCCAATTGTGGTTTTAAGTTAAGGAATATCTGTATTTACACTGAGCTTTTTAATTTAAAAACAGATTTGCCAAGAACTATTATAAGAGGGTCTGTTTGATATAAAATGTTACTGTGATAACCTGATATCAAACTGGCGATGTCCATGTGTAAGGTTGTATGTTTACGTTGCCTTGTAAGAAGTGGTAACAGGGAATTCTTTCACACTGCACTTATCCAATCTAAATCTTTTCCAGCAATGCTAGGTTCTCCTTTTCTCCAAACTTTGTCTTCCCACCACCCATATGCTTCCTTTCTCAATGTTGCAGCTAGCTCCTTCTTGAAGTTTAACACAGAATATCTTGTAGGATCCAATCTGAATCAGTCACTGGGACCAAAGGTTTCTTCTTCCAAACTTTCAGGCTTGTGCTGGGGCCCATCATCAGGGAACCAGAATATTCCACTCACTTCTGGAGAGAGAGAAGTTCCCTGATGATGGGGGCTCCAACATTGAGCCCAAAAGCTTGGAAGAGTAAACCTTTAGTCCTGGTGACGAACTTAGATTGGATCCTGCAACATTATCCTGGGACACGTATATTTACCTTCATTTGCCACAGAATATTCCTTCATTTCACCTATGACTGGTGCACACACCCTTCATGCTGATGTTTATTGAATAATCATAACTTTAATGATATGTATGACTCTGCTTATTTGGTTATAGTTGAGCATGTATTTTAACGGTGTCCTTTTTGAGTATGCTGCCTCTTCATTTCTTCATCTGAAAACTTACTTATTCCCATATTNCCCATATTAGTTAATGTTTATGTTAATCACACTACTAAGCACCATGTTTA